TCAATATTTAAAATTTTATTAAAAATTTTAAAATATGCAGACAAATTTGCCTGTGTTACAATCTAAGGGATAATAATTAAAAAAAGAGCTAACGCAGTTTATTACCTTTAATTTAGCCTCAAACAATTTATCCTTATCAACCTATAATTACAAGAATAGCATCAATATTAGCAGATGAATTAAATGAAAGATTAATATATTTACTATTTAAGCGACAAATTAAGAAAGGTGTATTAGATGATATCTATGATGGAAAGTATGGCAAGAATTTTTAGACAAACAAGGACAGCCATTTTTTGTAGGAAATAAAGCTGATGTTTGAATTGGATTAGCTCTTAATCTCGACTGGTATACGCTATATAGTCGAGTTAAAAGAAGCTGTACACCAATATATATAACAATTCTCAACTTTCCAAGATATATCAGATATCGAAGTGAAAATTTTATCCTTGCTGGCATCATACCTGGTCCAAAAGAACCAGATACAAGTCAATTGCAAAATTATTTTCAACCTATAGTCAATGAACTAAAGCAACTTTGGAGTGGTCAATTATTTAAAACTGCCTTATATCCAGTTGGGCATATGTTTCGTTGTGCATTAATTCAAATTGCATATGATATACCAGCTGCACATAAGGTATATATTTTAATAATGCATACTATTTTCTTTTTTATTTTATTTACTCATTATTATATTAATATAGGTTACAGGATTAGCCCTGCATTCTTCAAAACATGCATGCAGCAAATGTACTTGAATTTTTTCATACTTTTTAGGGACTTCCAAACTTGATTATTCCAATTATATTCAAGATGATCTATCATTGACAAATGCTAAACATCAACAAATAGCATTTCAATATAAAATTAGTGATTCAATTACAAAAAAAAAATTATTTCAACAATATGGAATTCGATGGACTTGCCTTTTAGAACTACCGTATATTGATATACCCTGATTTACTATAATTGACCCTATGCATAATATATTTTTAGGTACAAGCAAACGTATAATTCAACATGCATGGATGAATGAGAATTCACCAAAACTTGGTATTAAGCAGCTTTATGAAATCCAAAATCTAATTGATTCAACTCCTTTATTTGCTGATATGGGACATATAAACTTTAAAATTACGTTGAGTTTTGATACACTCACAGCGGATCAATGGAAAACATAGGTTCTGATTTATTCAACTTATGTTTTGCACCAATTTCTTGATGAAGCTGATCGGTGATATTGGCAAGCATTTGTTAGTGCAGTATCAATATAGAGTCAAAGAATTATAACTGAATTGGAAATTGAAGCTGGCAATAAAGCTATGATGACATTTTTAAAATATGCTGAGCAAATTTATGGTAAAAGCTTCTATTCTTCTAATATGCATTTACATAAACATTTACAAGAATGTATGTTTGATTATGGGCCATGGTATTCGTTTTGGTGCTTTGCTTATGAACATTATAATGGGTGAGTTATTTAAATTTATTTATTTTTTATTTTTGTTGCCTTCTTTAAAGAGAATGTTCTAGTGTGTTTATTTTCTTTTAAATAATATGATTATTGTAATTTATTTATTTTAGAGAACTTGGTTTATTTCCTAACTCAAATTGTAATATGGAACTAGAAGTGCTAGAAAATTTTAATCACCAAATTTATATTCAACAAATTAAAGCAAAAACCTACTCCTATTTGCCACAAAATTTTTTATCATTATTAGATTTAATTGCACAAACTAATATTGAAAAAACTGGAACTTTGGAACATTATAATTTTACAGTTCAAGAGGCATTAGACTTCCGTGCAATATCTGGTAGATTAATTAATCATGTTGTAACTGGCTCAGAACGATTTCCTGGTCATTTTATTGGACCTTTTCGTGAGATTGTCTTATCAACTAAGATAACTAACTTTCTTCTTCAATATTATTCAAATATTTATCTAAATTACAGCTTTTACAGTGAAAATCAAAAACCAAACTCAAAACAATCAATTCTAGTTTCTTCAACAGCCTGTCGAGCAATAGCTCTCAAACTTGGAGATGAAATATATCAGTCATTCTTTTCACGCTCTGATTTAAATTCAAACATATTTGCACGATAGCAATTAGATGATGGTTCAAGAATTAATTGGCCAGGAGTAATTAAGTTTTTTTTTGAACATCGTATACTTTTACCTAGTTTGACAACGCCGATTAGCCATTATCTTGCTATAGTTGATTGGTACAAGAGGGATCCACAAAAGCAAGGTTACTTTTATATCAAATCAAATAATAGTATATTGTCTACAAATGCAGATGGAAGCTATCACGCAGAATCATGGGAAGATCAATTTATTAAGCAAGGATTTGAATCAATATTGCCAATTCAAAGAATTATTAGCCGATTTGTTAAAGGTAATGGATTTAAGCTATCTGGAATTAAAAAAAAATTTATTGTTATTATACCAGTAAATCGAAAATTTTTAGTATAATGGTATGTGTATATCACAAACTATAATTTTTCTATTAAAATATTAGACACTAAACTAAATTACAACTTATAAAATTAATTAGGACTACGTATAATTATTTGTAGAGAAGCGAGTAAGGTCTTAGAGACACATATATTAAATATATTAACGCCAATAATATAATATTTGATGACTATAATTACACAAGAATATATTAAAGAGCTTCAATTTAAATCGACTAAATATAAAAATATAATCGAGTAGATTCTTGTAATAGATTCGATAATATTCAAAAAAATAAAGACGAATTTTAGCAACCTGGTTAGATGGTATGTATATGAATTGTTTTTGAAGTTGTATACAAGAAATGCATACAATCATGTATATTACAATAAAATTTTTTTTTTTGTTATATTATTATGAAATAGGTTATTCTTCTAATTTTCAAAATATGGATCATGGGAATA